GTGCGGAGATCGTGGACATTGGAGGCTTCCCCCCAAACCTCAATGAGGTCCACGATCTCCGCACTTGACCAAGCAGGTGCCCGCCTCTTGCGTCCCCGGGCAGGCTCCTGGGAGCCGCCAGGCTGGTCCTGGGGCGCAGTGCTTTAAGGGCTCCGGGGCCGGGAGGGGGGGCAATAGAGTTTCTCTGGTGTTGGCCAGAGTGGCCAACAGGGAAACTGCTGGCATGGGTGCTGGCAGCCTTGCAACTGCCACAAACTGTGTAGCCAGCCCGTGGCCCTTTAAGGGCTCCGGGGCCGGGAGGGGGGGCAATAGAGTTTCTCTGGTGTTGGCCAGAGTGGCCACCAGGGAAACCTGGGAAGGATTAGCCTCCCACTAGTTCGAATTAAGGGGCTACACAGCCCTTAATTTGAACTAGCTTGTTCGAACTAGGCTTAATCCTCGTAAAATGAGGTTTACCTAGTTTGAACTAAGCGCTCCGTTAGTTCGAATTAAGTTTGAACTAACAGAGTGCTAGTGTAGCGCCTATGAAAGTTAGTTCGAACTAATGTCCTTTAGTTCGAACTAACTTTGTAGTGTAGACATACCCCGGGAAGTGCCACGGTCATTTCTATGGACTTAAAATCAGTATTTAACTTACACTTTGCAAGAGGAAAAGTTTGAAGGATAACACCTGTGTAATAGCAAACATGTTAACCTTAGCTATGGGTGGAGCAATTATGTAACCTTTTAGATTATTGGCTTATTATGCTAATTTTGTCTTGCGGCTAGAACCTATCCAGGGGCTCAGAAACTCCTACGCCATTGTTTCTCTCTGCCCATTGGCACTCTATATAATCTATTGTAATCAATTATTTAGCAGTGTCTCACTGAGCCTAACAGCGAAGTGACACTCCGCCAGCCTTGTGCATAATAAACCCTCATGATTGGATCTATACAGTGTCGAACTTCTGTTCCTTCATTTATTGTGAGAAATATGTCTATTTCTACCAAAACATTTTATCTGATATTTTGGATGACATTCCCAAATTAGGAGAGTCCTGTCCTGGTGGGAGAAAAGCTTCTCAAATAGGTGCCCTTTATTAATATTAGGATGCTAAATAGAAAAAAAAGTAACAAATCTCAAGTTACCACTCAATTATGAATTCATTAGTTATACTTTTGCTCCTGCAAACTGATTTTGGCAGCTGTAAACTAATCTTGGTCATGATTATCAATGTTCACATTAATCTTTTTTGTCCAGGTGCACATTTTTTTTCATCCATGGGTGGAATAAATGTTATGTGCACTGAGGCATGTTCAAATGTGCGCCACCCATATAAACAAAAACCTATCTGTGAGCACTCTGCTCATCAGCTGGGCAGCATTTAAATCTCTCCTAAAGTTCCCCCAAGAGCACAGCTTATAGCAACACTGGTGGTTATGTAGCTAATGTGCAGTGACAACCATCTTTCATGCTGACCACTATTGTTTCCTTGAGTTTCCCTGTCTATGTCCAGCTGCTGTTTCTTCTCCTATACTGAGATTGTAAGCTCTTTGGGGCAAGGACTGCTTTTTACTGTGTGATTGTATAGTGCCCACCACAGTGCAGGACTGGGGTTCCCACATGTTATAGTTATAGCAATAATAAATAATGTTGTCAATAGCATGCAAACACTAGTGTGTGGGGCAGTGAATGAGAATATGGCAGGTGCCTAAAATACAGCAAACTTTTAAGTATGGTGAGCATTTTTGTTAGAGGAAGCCAGTGTGAGGATTAGTTCAAGTCTGGAAATTAGAAAGTAAGTGTATGCAAAGCAGTGAGAGGAAGCCTGAGCTGATGAACTTCAGGCCGCCTCTGTGGGTATCCTGGGAACCAACAAGAAACCTGGAGATAAGGCAAATAGAACAGAAAATACCAATTTTTAGTGTAATGCCAAGAGCAATAGAAGGAAACGTTCAGCAAAGTAACTATTAAGATACATATTGAGAAAGGCATGTGAGTTCACTTTCAAGACTGTTTGGATTAGCTGTAAGAGCTTACACAGTACATAAATATATGAATTCTCTCTATACAGTGCCTTATACATTTATGCTGCATCTAGACTGGCATGATTTTGCACAAAAGCATGTGCTTTTGCACAAAAACTTGCTGCCTGTCTACACTGGCTGTGAGTATTTGCACAAGAACACTGACTTTGTACTGTACAAAATCAGTGGTTCTTGCGCAAATACTCTGACGCTCTTGCTCAGGGATAAGCTCTCTTGCGCAAGTATTCTTGCGCAAGAGGGCCAGTATAGACAGCAACGTTAATTTCTTGCGCAAGAAAGCCTGATGGCTAAAATGGCCATTGGAGCTTTCTTGCGCAAGAGAGCATCTACACTGGCACGGATGCTTTTGTGCAAAAGCAAATCTTTTGCGCAAAGGCACATGCCAGTATAGATGCTCTCTTGCGCAAATACTTTTAATGGAAAAGTTTTTCCATTAAAAGTATTTGCGCAAAATCATGCCAGTCTAGACTCAGCCTTATTTTCTGTATCTCAGGTACTGAAGGGCATTGATATCTCAATAGGAAATTTTGTGCCTTTAGTTTTTGGTTTGGGCCCAAAGGACTGAGACAGAAGACCATGCGTCTCAGCACTGAAAGGAACAGGAAATGGGAGCTGTTCAGTGTGCATAGATTAGTTGTGATTTATTTTGGAATTTAGTTAATTTAGCAGCACCCTATTTGCTATTTAACCATAAAATTCTCAGCCTTTACATTATATAATAAAACTGGCAAGATGCCTTTTTCCTGATTGTTTATTATTATATTTAAGTCCTTTAAAAAATATTCTCTCTTGTCATGAGATGGCACATGTGTCTCATTCACTGCTTTGCAATTTTACTCTGAGGGGCCTGCTTGGCCTTCTTTGATAGCTATTTGTAGCAACCAGAAAAACACAACAAAACATCAACAGAATTGGCCCCTTCCTATTTTTACCTTTAAAAGAGAGAGCCCTCTTGCAAGGCTGAGGCACAGTGGTTTGGGGGGTGTGACGGGGTGGGCCCCCCCCATCCCCTGGAAGCGGGCCCACCCCGCACTGACCCGGCAATCGCGTTGTCCCTGGTAGGGAGGGCCGGGCAGCCTAGGACGGTGTGCGGGCCGTGCAGCGCCGCCCTGCACACACCGGCCCGTGCGGAAGGCTCGGTGCTAGGCAAC